AGGTAAAATTAGAACAAATATGAAAGGATGTATAAAGCAAGCCTCGTTAAGTAATTTCCAAAGTGTATTCAGTTAAAATATTGATCCACTCTAATGAAAATTCATTCTCTGCTCTTGAGCAAGCAGTAAAGAAATGAAATACAATAGCTTTCATTAGCAACAATCCATAAAATATGCATGTACATGCAAGCATGTCAGGATTATTTTTCTTTGAAAAGTGAAGCCACTGTTTATTTTGTCTGACATACAAAATGTGCTTATCCTGTGGGCTAAGCAAATAGAGATGATGTTTTGTACAAAAATGCAAAGTTAAGTAATTATTATAACCTGGACATATTTTGAAGTAAGATTACCACAGGCACTTCTACCAGACCCAGACTTCATACCCCACTGTTAAAGCAACCATAAAAATATGGCCAGAGACAAATTCTAGATCAGAAAGTGCTACTTCCCATTCCTCCAGGTTTAAACACATTGCAAAAAAAACAGCTAAGCAAATGTGCAAGTATGTTCAGCACCAGCTAAACAGTGTAGGCAATCTTAAATTTAGGCCACAGCTCGCTGCAGCTGTCTGGCATGGAAGGGATTCATCAAGGGATGATTTCATCAAGTGCTGGAGGTAAAAAAAAAAAAAAAAAGAATAATAAATTATCATTTGTCAGTACCTGCAAGCAGGAGAAACCTCCTACTTTAGTTACTGAGTCCACCTAACCGGTGAGCACAGATAACCCAACAAAAAAGAAATCATGCTTTGAGATCCAGAATAGTAACTTTTTGGATTTCTTTGCTAAGGTTCAAGTTCTCACTAACCAGCTGTATGGTACCCAGACCCTGAGGCAAGTGTCTCCACCGAGCAGGACAGGGGCCTAGTTTCAGCTCAGAGAAGATGCTGTCAGCAACAGCAGCTGGTCACACGTGTCACCTGAGCTGGGGAGGTGACCACACGCATCCTTGCAGTGCCTCTTGTCAGTCCCTAGCTCTGTAGTGCACTAGCACATTGAAAGAGAAGAAAATTAACTTTAAACCCATGGCATATGCCTGTTGCCCATGCTCAAATATCTCAGGGCATTCACCAAGCTGTAAACAAGGCAAAACTGAGGAAGAACATGATATTAGATAAAATACCTTAGCATTATGTTTTCCTGGTAAAACTTTAAATTTGTGTGTGTGTATCTACATGCATACACTTTTGCTTGCACTCACTACCATAAAGTGAGTTTCAGTTTAATAAAATTGCAGTGTTTATAAATGCAAGGGCTCATATTTCATACAGTGGCATCCCTGAAGAGCTGGGAGGGACTGAGCCAGTGTGATAATGAAAATGCAAATAAGAGGAAATACAATATACACAACAAAAGGCAAGGGCAGATGAGGAAGTAACAATATCCTTTTTTTGCCAGAGGTTACTATGGTTAATTTATAGGCTGTCAGAGAATGAAAAAAAAAGGTTTAAAAGAGCTGACCAAGAGTAAACACTGAAAGGAAACAAATAATGACAAAAATATCTTTGTGGGGGGTGGGGACTGTTGAGTTGGAAAGGATGGTTTTGCACAGAAGAGCAGTTTGTGTCCTTAGTTCTCTGGGTGCCCCCCGGCTCAGCTCTGAGGTCTGTGCTGCACCCACTGCAGACCTGTGCCAGGAAGGGAGGAGGGATGAACTTGCTGAAGGGAAATCTTTGAATATGGGATAACAACCGAGAAGAGTTTAAATGTATATACCTGATTTAGGGAGGGAATGTTTGATCTGTGAGACCTGTTAATGGGAAGTAGTTACTGCTAAACTAAGTTTTATCTTTTTAAAACAGATATTATCATGAAACACCATGGAAAATAGCTCTTTGTTGGCAAGCAATAGACAAAATGACCTAATAAATCTTCCTTGTATTTATTTTCTGCAGCGAGATTTCAAGAAATGCCCAGGATTGCTCTGCTGCATCAGGGCATGTCCCACTGAAGGAACAATTTCTGCCATTTTTAGAGTGTGTTTACTGGAAAATTGCTGGTCTGGTGTAATTTTGAGTGCCCCCTTGGACAGATCTAAAGCTTCACATGTTTTTTTGCTAAGTTTCAAAATCTTTCCCTTGAGAAAAGAAGAGGTAGCAGATGAAAGGATTAACCCACAGGGAACCCTCAGATCCTCTTCAGAGACAGAGATTAATGCTGGTTCTGGAACAGAGAATGGAAAGAAAAAATAGTGTCCCTTTGAAAGGGATGAATTTTTCATAATTTCCTTTCTGCAGTTTGTTATAAAGAAAAGAGCCACATTTCTTAGCATGGGAAATAGAATCAAATCTACAACAATAATCTGGCTTATTTTTAACATAGAAATATCTGCCCTGTGGGACCAAAGCTCATGAACTGATTGTTGGAAAAAACTATTCTTGCAGGACAAACTGAAGATGAATTTCACTCTTTTGAAATAATGATTCACTGAGTGAGGCCACTACTGTCAAAAGACAATATATCATTATTAAATTGCAGTATTTACCAAGTAGTATTTTATTCAAGAATATTTTAAAAAAATAATTTCAAGACCCTAATTTTTGGTCTGCTTATGTAAAGAACATCTGGATAAGCCAAATAACTGAGTTTTGAGCTGTAATTCTGCATATTTTTTTAAAGCTATCATGGAGCTATACAGCAAATTTTCTGAGTGAGACCTTTTTCTTTATTCATTTTTTAGAACATTAACAGAAAATCCCGTAAGTGTTTTGGAAAACTTGTTGCTTAAGAAGGAGGTGGGGAAAGTGTATGGCAAATAAAATACCCAGAAAAATAGTCATATCAAAATGCTTTTGCAGAGTGTGACTTTGGTCAGCCAGATCTTTCTTGCCTCTGTAGAAACCATTGTAGGAGCATAAATTAATCTAAGTATGAGAGTAGTTCAACAGGCTGACTTCCCTCAGTAACCTGACTACTTACACGAGGTTGCATAGATTTACTTTTTTCCCCTCTCCACTGAAGGATATAAAGGCTAGATGGTCAATATTTTACACTTTTATTTTACCTTGACTGAAGTTGTAAAGAACTGTAGAGTGACTCTATTAATAGGAAATGTCAGTGAAAAACCACATAAGTTTAACTGTTCTCAAAGCCTAACTTGCTTATATGCTGCACAGCACAAAATGTATGGCTTTCCATGGAAAACCAAAATGACTGTCAAGGTTATGTGTAAACTGGTTATTGCACTGGGGGACAGCAAGCAAATGCAGAAGAGTCTGGGATTATGTGTATTTTGTAAAGGGTTTTAGGTATCTTACAGTTAACCAAAGGTAAACAAAAAGGTGTTTTCTATACAACGTATGGTTTAGTGATGGGGGTCTCTAACCTGGCTCCCTTCTAAATGGATTTCCTCTCCTTTTCTCAACCACTCATTCTCCTTCCCTCATTTTAAGAAATTTCTTCCCCACTTTTTTCTCTTCCTACAGCTTCCTTCATTTTCTGATATGTATTTTTCTTCCCCTTTATTTCACATTATCTGTTCTTTTCCTGTAGCAGACATCCCTTTCCATCTCCTAACAGGAGCTATAATTTCTAGATTCTTCACTTTCCCTTTGTATGGAGAAGGTGTCTTCTTCAGGCTTCTTCTGTCCACTTGCCAGGGTTCAGTCATTTTTTTTGTATCATAGACGGTTGTGATACTGTACTTCTGTCCCATGCTATTATAGTCTCTTACCTTTCTGCCCTTGCAGTGCAAGGTACCTTGAGCACAGTATTTATGCATGTATTTTCACTGCTTGAGCCCCACAAATGCAGACTGAGAAGCTCCAGACACAGTGGTTTAGGAGGATGGCTAAATTCACTGGTATTTCAAACTGATTTCTTAATACTGATACAATGAGCTAATGTTAATTAACCATTATCACTCACTGATGTGTGTCCTCCCTTAATAATGTTCATATTAATATGTACAGAATTAATTAACTTACATAAATACAGCTTTAGTCTGGTCTGTTCTTTTACTGAGCTGGTTTGCTATGAATTCATGCCTTTCATCTATTCAGTGACTCCATTTCCCCACAAGTTTCTTGTTTTTCAGTCAGAATTACTGTATTATACTTGAGCCAAATAACCTAAAACATTTTTTCAGGGCATGAGTTGTGCAGTTCTGATAATAAGGGGAGTGTTAGCTTTTAGGCCAAGCAACTTCTGAATGTAGTTGGGATTTTCATATCACCTGAAACTTGCGTCTGGTCCTCGACGTTTGGAGAATCTCAAACTGACATACACTAAGCATCTGTATATGTTAGGGCATTACCTACACTGCTGGGGAAATAGGTGTGGCAGGTAAAACATGCACCAGAAAAGAGGTGAGATTATGGTAATACTCTCACAATGCGATACATCTCGAGCATTTTTGCTCCTCATGGGAGAAAATTCTCTTGAATAAAATGCACAGAAAAATTTTTACCTTTACCTGTTTCCCCCAAAAGTCCATGCAAATGCAGGCTCGATTCATTCCAGATTCAGCAACCATGGATATAATTTGAATTTCTCTTGGGATTAAAGTGACCTTTAATGTCTCTATAGCAAGCTTTTTGGTTAGCACACAGAAGAGTTTCCCTCACTTGTTTACCCTTGGTATAATGTCGTTGTCTGATATGTTTAAGCATGTCTGCTCTCTTACTTGTATTTGCACAGCTTTATTTAAAGCTAGTGCTTTTGAAAGGCCTGTTCCTCCACACTGTTTCAATATTTAAATAAGAAATATCTGGTGTTGCCTTTTGGAGCCCCGTGTCTGCTGCCTGCCCTTCTGTTCTCACCACCAGTTTCGACTTTGTGAATGGGGAGCTAATTGGCAGCCCAGTAAGAAATATGAGCTATTGCTTTACTCATGTGGCTTTTATTTTGCTTTCAAGAAGTTGAAAACAGTTACAGGGATCAGTTCTGTTGATGGTTTCTTTTTTTCTCTTGTTGCTCTTGAAATCCAGTCTATCCTATCCATCATGTTAATAGCAAAAGTAACAACCAAAATAAACATTTTCCTGTCTTCTCTTTCAGATAAAATTGAAGATGAATTAGAAATGACTACAGTGTGCCATAGACCTGAAGGACTGGAACAGCTTGAAGCACAAACCAATTTCACTAAAAGAGAACTTCAAGTACTTTACAGAGGATTTAAAAATGTAAGAACAATAGTGCAGTGAACTGAGTCTAGTATGTATGTCCCCACCAGCCTCAACTGCTCAGCTGCATTTTGTATCATTCCCCTGCTAAACATTAGTAGTTTTGTGCTAGATCTCCCCTACCACAGCAAAATGAGCACAATCTGCCTCTCCATCTAATATTTATGACACCATAATCTGCCTGAAACTGGGTTTGGATGAATATTCAGCACATAATATTCTCATTAAATTTGTTCCCCAAATGTCAGTAAGTGCACTGCAATTTCCTCATCTGTGCCAGTACTCCGGGATAACCTGAAAATATTTTTATGGTTACTATTTAATTCTTGCTGTCAGTTCCTCATGCTCTAATGGGAGTGGTACTGTTCACTTGTGATTAGCTGTCTAGGATAGGTTTTTTTGTCCTTTCTCTAGCTGGAGAAATCTTGCTCTTGTACTAGGATGTTATTAGGACTATAAGGTCCTGCGTAAGTAAGGAATAAGGCTGGAGTGCCTGGAGCCAAAAGGAAATCAAAAGTAAACGGGTATCAAGACTTGAGGAGATGAGAGGCTACAGATGTAGGTGAAAGCAGGAAACATGCCAGTTGGCATGACTGCGTACACAGAACAGCACCACGCTCGTCTTTGTGAACTGCCATTCCAGATATATTCTCCCTGGTAGCAGGGAGTCTGCAGCTCCGTGAGCATCAGCTTCTAGGTCACCTGCTGCTGCCTCTCAGGGACTCATCATAATAAATAGAAACAGATAGGGAATTTTGAGGCTACATGGAGCAGATGTTTTATGGACCTTGAAGAATGAATACTCTCATTACGTGGTTGCCTGAGGGTCTGGATTTAGTCACCCAGGTGGTTCGTGCCAGCTGATGTTTTTAAGATGATTAATAGATCAGTATTGAGCTAGCTCAATAAACAGTGTGGGGTTTAAGTTGTCTTGCAGGGGCAGCTCCAGCATTTCAGCTACTGTCATGGTAGCAGAAATTTCTTGGAAAGAGAGTCTGTTGGGTAAAAACTTGCTAAAAAAAAGGTTGAGCTACCTTAAATACAGGCAGTGTTGAGGGAAACCTGCTGGACATTGGGAAGGGCCTTTCTTTTTGACAGATCCTTGAAAATTATTTGAATCACAACTCCAATGCATACTTGACTTCTCCAAGGAGTCTGGTGGTTTCATCCTTTATTCCACTGCTCAGCTAAGCAGGCCAAGGCATAGCTCAGCTGGCTGTATTTTTCTGTTTCATGCATGTGTTGTATTTATACAGCCTTTGCTGCAGGTAGGAGGTTGTTTGATGTGTGAAGCTTTCTAACCGCTGAAGATTGATGTTCTGAAACCTCTTCATGCTTTGGGCAGTCAGCGAGAAATCGTGGCTTTTGAGACAACAGTTTACATACTAATGTCATAGTATTATATGACATGACTGCCTGTTGTGGGAGACTAAACTTAGTTCTTATCTGCTGTGTTTTGCTAAGACCTCTCAAATGCCTTATGTATTGCTGTGTTTGGTCGCAACCCTGTATGGGAGAGCACTGCTCCATGCCGAGAGGAGGAGCTGGCTGTGCCAGCAGCCGCAGTGCAAACCAGAGAGGCAGCCTTGCCGCTCTCTCAGCAGATACGACATTTACCCCTTGCCCCTCCTCATTTTGCTATCACTTTGCAGTACAGAGGGATTATATCCCGGGGCAAGAATGATAGACAAGTGCATTTAACTTATGACCTAAACTCTTTCCAAAGATCTCACTAAAGGTCTTGGTATTAATTGACAGTGCTGGCTCGTTAGCACAAAGCAGTCTGTTTTTCCCCAGCTGCTATGCGCACAGTATGCATTGAAGCTTTAATATTTGAGGTTTAAATTGAAACGAAAGGGCAGCTTTAGCATTTGTAGCCTCTAAATCATGGTTTCAATGGGATGAGTAATTATGCACAGCAGGCAAACTGACTCAGCTGTTACCATATTTGCTATTGTACTGAACCGTCTGCTTTTTGGGATGATGTTACAGTGCCATCTGGAGATTCAAAATCCCTGTGGGAATACAGTCATTTTCCTCGCTCTGGCTTGTACTCACTGCTTGCTCTCAGTGATTGCACAGGTCCTGTTTAATCATGAGGCAACACCTGGATAATCACGGAGCCATGCAGGCACTTGTAATGGACACAGAGAGAATGGGGCCCCGCTGGGCCCGGCTGCAGGCACAGGAACTGAGGGTTCCATGTTCGTGAACACGGGTGGTGTTTGACCAAAGGCAGTTCAACACAGCCTGGGGTAGCCTCTGGGCTAGTGCCCAGCTGACCAGGGTCCTAATTCTCAGTGCATATATTCCTGTTCTTTGTCTCCAAAATAAGTTTCCCCACTCCAAGTCTTCCCAGTCTCTTCCCAGTGTGTCACTGGTCAGGTCTGGTGTTTCTGCACCAGATTGATGAAGGCTTCCACTGAATTGAGATCCTTTGCCACTCTGGAGAAGCAGAGCACACTAACCAGGCCAGTGTCCTTGCTGCCTGGCAAAATGTCCCCCCTCTCTTTGCCTTTAGCTTTTTTTTCCAGCTATGAAAGGGTGCTGTCCTCCAAAATCTCTTAATGCCAGGACCAAAAGTCCACTTTTAGCTGTTAGCTCAGCCCCCAAGGTGTATTCTGCATTATGCAGAATAGTCTGTTTTGCAGCATGGAGTTAGCTGCTGTCAGACTGGAGCCAGATTAACGTAAGGTGTTTGGTCTGATTCCTTTGGTTGTGGTTCTGCAAAAGCAAGGTAACAGAGGCACCAAAAACCAGCAGAGCCTTTGGTAAATCTTGCCTTGGTTTAGCTTAACAAAACAAAATGTGATACCTCCCATCTATAAATCTTATCAGGAGAGAGAGTTGTTGGAGCTAAAAGGCAATATTGGCACGGGTACAAAATGGCTATGAATAGGCATAGGCTGGAATTCAAAGAAAATTTCCACTTCCCAGAGGAGTAAAATTTGGGGAACAGTTATAGAATGGGAGGGAGAAGAATTTGAAACTATTTTTAAGATTAAAATTGATAAATTGATGACTAGTGAAGTGACCAACAATGACAGAGGTTTGAGCTCAGTAATTCAATACCTCCCATTTAGAGCATGTTTCTAATGACTTACATTCTTTGAAATTGAGTGTATGGATTTAAAAGGGTTGGAATTTTTATGGGACTTTTTTTGCTCAATTTGGGGGGTTTTGTGCTGTTAGGGGAAATGACTGTTAGCTGCAAGGGATAATTTTCTAATACTAAATCAGAAAACTGACAACTCAACTGATGGGCTGTAGAAGATGTTCTTAACATGCCTTAGTGTGAATATTTTAACAAATCTGTAATGGAGTGCAGTACAAGATGCAATCATCTGTAAGAAATCAGGCTTTTGGAGACTAAAGTGAGTAGTGGGAGCAACGTAGAAATGTTCTGATACTTTTGTAATCCCCAAAATATCTCCAGACTGAGAGAATGTAGTAAGAGAAACAACATATTTGGGATGTGTGAATGCTTAGAGACACAAATCTGGATTGTGGATCCTGAAGGAGAATACATTAGAGTCTGGCTGTCATCAGCTAACTTAATGACCCCCTGAGGACTCCTTTTCATGTGCTGCCCAGGTTAGCTGAGAACAGTCTGATGGGCAGGTTATGTTTAGCCCCACCTCAGTTCTGCTGCTCATCCCTGCTTGTCCACATTGCACATCTTTGAAAGCAATCAATGAAGTTAATTTTTGATTCCAGCAGAAGAAAGTACACGAAGTGCAACTTTTGGTTTAGTTTGTTTTTAATGTGGGTTCAGCTCCTTTGTAGTTTTTAAAAGAAGCTACGTTAGCATTTTAAAAGAAGTCTGAGAGGGTAGATTCAAATGTATGACTCATGCTGTCAATGCCAATGCTTGATGATTAGCTTTTTGAAAATAAACAGTTGTTTCTGTGCTTGACAACAATACAAAAAAGTGTTCACTATTGTTAGACATTTTAAAAGAATTCATAGGTTAAAGAAATTAAATCTAGCCCCCTGCCATTGAAGGAAGACCTTACAAATGCTATGTAGAAGGACCGTGCTTTTTCATACTACCAAGAATTTTTTTCTTAAATGAGAAAACCTTCAGTTATCTTCAGTGGAATTTAAACTGACAGAGTTTACCTGCTCCTTTTCACGAGAGAGATTTCTTTCGAGTCAGCTGAATTAAGTAGTACTGTAGGACTAATGAGGCCTCTTGAGCTTTATTTGACTCATAAAAACAAAATTGTGATCATTTAAGTGCAAATGAATTGGTACTAGCATATGTGTCTGAAAACAATCCAGTTATAGAGAGCTAAACAGGCTGACCAATGTCAGCACTGCCTCTCCCCAGCACTCCTGGAGGCTTGATGCAGACTTTCATTTGACTTCCAGATGGAGCATCAGAAGCAATAAGGATCATGTGGAAATTCAGAAAATTTAATCAGGCACAATGGCCAAAACTGCTGCAGGAGACCTTGCCTCTGCAAGGGGAGTGCCTGCAGCAGCAGCCTCTCCTCGGGGCCTGCCCTTTGCAGACATCAGCTTCATTCTCAGGGTTGCTACTGGTGGGCTGGGGCTCTTAGTAAACATGGGCTATTAATATAGCATTGAAGAGGTCCAAGGGACTCTGCAATTGTGGTCGGTATAGAGAAAATAATGATCAATCCCTACATTTATAAACTGTCTTTAGGCATGTGAAGTGATGGTTCTTAGTGAATATAATAGCTGTATTTATCAAGAGAGAAAGAAATAATATCCTCACTTCATGTGTTTGGCCAGTAGCACTATGCTGCAAAGGATGCTGTGGTGCTCTGCTAGGCTTGGTTTTAAACAGAATGATGACTTGGTCAAATACTCTGAAGTTCTGCCAAGGTCCAGTGTGGGTCTTGGAGCAGCAGCACTCCGGTGACTAAGGAGAAAATTTCTGTGTAAGAATGTCTGTCAATAGGTCAGATCTATGGTTAAAAGATACCATAAATAAATTTTACACTATTTATTTAATGTACTTTAAATTACATGTTTTAGGAAACATGACTTCTGGGACAACACTTTTATGGTATCTATCACCTTCTATTACTCTTCTTTTAATGATTTCTAGCTTATTAGAAGTGGCATGAACAGATGAAAAAGTAACCATGTTTCTCATAACAAAGCAACCTGGCAGTGGCTATTTTATTAGGAGCTCTGGAATGTTTTGAGGATTCTCATCTAACCAGGAATTCTGCCGTACAAAATTAGAAAGTTTTGTTAGTTTTGAAAATGAAAAATCAAGGTCTGGACCTGCAGCCACTGGTTTATAATAGTCCAGTTGGTCTTTTCACCCCCTTGCTGTGGAACAAGCCCTGAACACTCACGCTGGGGAAACGGAGGCCCCAGCAAGGTCAAGACTACAGTGCCAGGTTTGGGTTTTTATTGGGACACTTAAACCTAACCAGGGGAAGGACAGTTGTTAGGATATGAATTACACAGAGTAAAAGATAATTTCAGGGCTTTCCAAGCAACAAATTATCCTTTCCTTAGCTCAAATCTATCCAAAATCACTAATGGTCTTCTACCCAAAAAGTGTGTAGAACACAGCAGGATTTCTTCTGCATTGAAGGAAGGAACTCAGATCTAATCCCTAATTTCAATAGTGAACAGGTATGTGATTAAAGAACTGCCTCTGATGTCACCTGAAGTGCCCCTCCTTGCTCTCCTTCTTTGACTTGCACAGGATAAAGTGATGTCTCTTGTTTGTCCTGTCCTTTTCCATGGTTAATAATTGCACAGCAGCAGCAGGTGATGCTGACAGATCACAGGCTTGGAAAAAAGCCTTTTTTCCTCTATAGGCTTTTCATGGAAGAATTTCTTGTCAAAGTCTTTTTGGTTCTTAAAAGGTATCTAAAGAACTCATCATTAAATAAGTCATAGACTTGAATCTTCCTCCAACTTTCTGTGTCACCAATTCAAAGGGATTTTCTTAGACTTCCTAAGTTTACTCATCGCAAATTCCACAACCTGTAACACTACCAGAATAAGCGTTTGTCTTGGATCTGCACAGTGGGGTGTAGCACACAGAGTATATGCATCTATGGCAGCTCCAAGCTGCCAGTAGTGAGGAACTATAGCAGTACTTATATCTGCCCTGCTTTGCAAACCTACCTAGGGCCGTGACACACACTGCCAAGCCCTCTCTTTAACAAAGTCAGGGCAAGCACATAATTGTATGGAGATTAGGGGGGTCTCCACCCCAACAGCATCATGTGACGTAGCACCTATGTTCCAGGTAGTGTTATGTGGCAATAGTGTGTTTGGATGTAAAGGCTGTACAGTTCCGTGCTCTTTCAAACTCACTTCTGTTCATCCCCAAGCTTGATTGTGCTACACAACATCTCAGTCTGCACAGAGGCATGGCCCTCCTCGATGTGTTAGTGCAGAAGAATTAACTATTAAATGTATTTCCATTACTTTAGAAGGTAAGTCCAAGAGGAGAATATATGCTGCCTAAAAACTAGCCAGGGTTAGCCAGATAGACTGGATTAGCCTTACCATTATGGAAAGATCTGAAAAACAGTTTCTATCCTATTTCTCCAATAACTCAATCAGGATTTATTAGGGAAAGAACAGAGAAATGGGGAGAATGTTGTTATGCTGCAGGACAAATAAATGGTATACTGGCATCTTGAACATGGCTTGCAGTCCTGGGCTGCTGTCTCAAAAATGTGGTGGAAATGGAAGAATGCAGAGAAGAGATGGTCAAAGGATGCTCAGTGCCTTCTGTGCTTCTCAGGGTGACATGCTTTAGCCTGGAAAAGAAATAATGAAGGCAAGATCTACAAAATCACAAGTGGCAGGTAGAAAAAGTGTCAGGATCAACTGTTTGCTTGCAGTCTCTCTGTAGAGGAATTTGGGGCTGTCAGGCAAGGTAGTAGGAGTCAGGTTGCAAAAACTGAAAGCTGGTGATTCCTTGTGCAAAGGGTTATAGAACTGTAAAACTCCGTGTTGGAAGGACCTGTATTAAAATGGGCCAGCAATCATAGTGTGACATAGAAAGAGGAAAGCATGGAGTGAGTATACTGCCAGTAACTGATGAACTTTCTTGATCCCAAATCTGGCCTTCAGTTTAATCATAAGCATCAAACCAAGATATATGTACCAGTTTCATGAGAAATTCTGAGTTAAGCTATTCAGATAATCCATCTTCAGCATGTCCTACCAGGAGTGGCAGTGTTCTTGCTCCTCTTCCCTCCCTGTGACACATTGCCTCAACTGGGGCTGAGGAATTGAAATTGCTGTGAATGGGGTCAGGTGCCTGCAGCAGGGGCCAGACCCGTGATGTCTCTGACAGTTGGTATTTCTGAATGTGGGAGAAAGCTGACTCTTCAGTGTCTATAATTCTGTGCTCTGTGAAAAACTGTCAGTTCCATGGTTATTTTATTGTTTTGCTCTGTTTTGTTTTCAAAATTGGTTGATAGGCAATCTGTGAGGAAGAGTGGCATGAACTGGGAAATATTTTTTGTAATTGAAAACTACATATTGTCAGATAGCAATGCCTGAGGCTCTCTGTGATCCACGAACACGAGTTATAACAGCACTGAGCTTGTTGAGGGGCGGTAAAGCACCACAGTCATGCTAAATTTGCTCTTGAATTTTACTTGAATTGTCCATGTAATTTAAATTTTAGAAAGAGTTGAGAGGAAGGAAACAGGATTCACAAAACAGAGACAGTTCTTGTGCTGTTTTTCACCATCTCTTGCATTGCCTGCAGTCCTGCATCCTATGGGGTAAGCTCGAAGGACAGTTCAGATATCTCTTATCGGGTGAAGCACCTGGGGGCTCAGCTCCTCACACCTGCCGTGTCTCCCTTGTCACGGGCGCTGCCCAGACTCTGCAGTGTGCCCAGGGAGCACCTCCTACCCAAACTACCATAACGGCTTGGATTTTGCTGGGCTCTAGCAGAGCAAGCGCGAGCCTTCCAGGCAGGGATCCCCTTTTCCCTTCCTGAATGCTGCCCCATCGGGCTAGTTAGTTAGTAGGTCAGGAAGTTCAGGGCAGAAAATCTGCTACCCTCTTCCCAAGTGTTTGCCCTCAGCAGTCAAAAGTGAAATGAAATGCCTTACATTCTAGTACCAGAGCTTAAAAATAAAATAACTTCACAGGTTGCCAGGTTAGAAAATTTGTGTGGGCAGAGTCTGGCTTCTCAGAAGTTTACAGAAGACTGAGCAGATAAACAGATTAAAAGTGATCTAATCTTTTTCAGCCTAATACTAATGCTCGTTTGGGACTTACATAGTATGTACTGTTAGCTTCCATGGAGCTGGTGCCAGGTATCTGGCTACAGTCTTCTGCTGAGGATTAATGAATTCATATATGTGGAGGCATCAGACAGGGAAGTGTTAGCTGGCACTAACATGATTTGTAATTATTAGATGAAAGCTTCATGACAGAAGGCATGAGCTGCCTTTCTAGTTTGTCCTATAAAACAGCGATTAAACACTGCTGAAAACACTGTTAGAAATGTTAATAACGGTGAACCAAGACTGTGAGACACTTAAGATGAAATTGCAGTCTGAATTATTTTAATTTCCTCAGCTGCACAGCTCATGCATCTAGAGCACTGTGAGAACAGGAATGTGATTTGTTTAATTGCTCTCTTCGGGCTTGTAGAGTTTTGCAAATGAACCTTTACAGAGATGGGTGTTCTTCCTGTTTTTGTTTTTTTTTTTCTTTTTTGTTTTTCCAACAGGAGTGTCCTAGTGGGGTTGTTAATGAAGAAACATTCAAACAGATCTATGCACAGTTTTTTCCTCATGGAGGTAAGCAGAGTGTTTTGTGTCTGTCAAGTTTATTGAAGCATGCCTTAACATTCATTACTGCCAACTGGCTGCAAAACTACTTCAGATAATCTGTGCAAGAAATGTGAATTGAGCTTAAGTTTTGCAGGATCTTAATCAGAAACGCAAACATCAAGGTAATAAAATTCAGTTAGGCCCTTTGAACAGTTATTTCACAAGAATATAGTCAAACTCACATTAAAGACTGCCCCTAGTTGTACAGTTTTTTATTCCCTGTCCAAAATAGAAACTGGGAATTGGAGCTTTTATTTTGTACTGACTTTCTGGGTGGCAGAAAGCTAAATCACTTCCCCTCAGTGTGTCTCTGCTTCCCTGCTGTTGTACTGCTGTGCATGTAGTATCTAGCGCAGAAGAGTCCCAGACCTTATTTTGGCCTGCAAATTAATCAAAACCTCCCTACAATTCTTAAAGCAGTTCTTAATTGATATGTGAACTCCTAGCTACGTGAAGTGATCATTTTTGGTGTTTGTGTGACTAAGACAGGATCGTGTCTTGTATTGGAATGTATTGTATTGGAAACTATTGTATTAAACCTCTCAAAAAATGTACATTCTTGCCTTTTAAAAACATCAAGAACCTATATGTTCTTCTAACTGGTATGTTCTGTGGGGATACTCTTCCCGAATTGAAAGGAGTCATGGGTTTAAGTGACTTTTTAGTAAAAGATTCAATATTTGAGGCTTTCCAAATGTGTTCTACTCTGTAGTAGCTGCAGAATACACTCATTGTGCAGTGATGACTGAAGCTTCTGCAAGAGTGTATGTGTGCATGTGCATTTACTTTAAGGTTATTAACAAGTGGGTTTTCAACTAAATGTCAAGATAAAACATGTTATGCTTATGTCTTACGATGCATGTGACCTCAAAGATGTACACCTATAAAAGTATGGACTTGATTTCCTATTGTTCTGTTATAAAAAAGCAACTAGTGAATTTAATTTTTTTAACAAATATGCAGAAAATTAAGTATTTATAGTCTTAATGTATTCCTGGATGTGTTTTGTGTTTTCAGCCTAAGTTCCAGTAAGTCCGAGGAACTCCAGTTACCCCAAGTAACTGCACTAACTCCTTGAAGTAACACACCTCATGTGTGCCTGAGGTCCTTCCTTCCCATGTGTGGAAAACAAACAGGCACAGAAATGTCACCTTTTCATGGATAGATAACTTCTTGCCCCTCTCCTGAGGTTGACAAGGACTTGCCTTTTATTTTTCTGTCCCATTCTCTTGAAATGTGTTTCTCCCTTGGTTAATGACGATGGTAGTACAACCATACTTAATAATAAATCAATTTAACAGCATGTGTGATCTCGCATTTTACACTGTTTTCTTTCACTTGGTTTCTAAACTGTTTGTATAACCTTAGCATCATAAATCATGAGATTTCAGATTCCTCAGAGATTTTTTCACTTTTATGGCTCTCTGTACAGATAAACTTGTACATCCCAGAGGTAGTAAAGAAGATCTGAATTATAAAAACCCTGTGCAGTGTCATCCCAGGCTTGTGATGTTTTTGTTAAATAGGGCTCCTATGTTTTCTTCTGGAGCTGTTTGATTTCAGAATCCTTCTCTTAAAAATGTAGCAGTCAATTTTTTTTTTTACTACAGTCCAAAGTATTCTATCCTTACAAATTACGGTAACTTAAGTATTTGATTTTTCTGTACATTGTTACACTTTCCTGGATTTGAATAATGTGAAAATATTTAATTATTTCATAGAGATCAGAGTAAAGAGATGCTGGGTCATTCTACCTGACTGCCTGCGTAGCACAGGGCACCAGGCTTCACCTGAATACCCATACATTGAGTATGAGGATTCAGGCTTGACTAATGCAGTGTGATAGACGCCAAGCATAGAAGAGACAAAAAAGCTCATGGCTGCTAGAATAACAATGAAGTAATTAAGGAAATTTAATGTCAGTTGCTTCCATCTTGTAAAACTGGGCTCTAGTAAGACAGAGAGCAGTGCAAATTGCCTCCAGAGCAGAGAACAGGCCAGTGAAGGTCTTGAGGTCACACATCTATGTGATTTTATTTTTCTGGGTACCATTACTGTTTTTCCCACTTAACAGCCATCCTTCATGTGGCCATAGAAACTATTCTTCTCAATAAAAAAGTTTTTCTAAAACCAGCAGTTTAAGATTCAAAAGGACAAAAATATGCTTCAAATGAGACTGCCCTTTTTAACAGTCATGGGACAAGCTCCAGTTACTGGGACTAGACCCTTCTGAAGTTGGACAGTCCCTGGGGACCTCTGCTGTATCTGACACAAAGTGGAAAGGTAGAGGAAGGAAGCACACGTGCTTTTGCAGCATTTGCCACCAGAGTTAGTACTCCATTTGCCCCAGAGACACTCTTGGATGGTTGGGTTTTTTTGCTCATTCTTTCAAGTACAGCCACATAATCTAAATCGTTTCTACTGTAATAAACGCTTTCACATTTCAAAGCTGTTTTAAGGGAGGGCATGGATGTTAACATTTACTGGTTCATAGAATATCTGGCAATGCTACAAGATTGGGTTTTATACAAAAGGAAAATAAGGTCATGAATTTTGTTTGGAGCCATTAGTGTATAAAGAACTGTTGTACCAATCAGTGCCCTTTCTGTTTTTCAGATGCTAGCATGTATGCACATTATCTCTTTAACGCCTTTGACACTGCACAGAATGGCTCAGTGAAGTTTGAGGTAATTGTTTTGCATTTGATACCTCTTTCTCACTTCCGTGTTTTTAAGATTTTCCATCCTTTCTGTTCTGTGAACTAGTTGGATTATGGATTAGGACTAGTTGGATAATGGATTAGAGGTTTCAGTCTCAAATCAGTTGATATTTTAAAATTTGATTCACTGTAGTTTATGCAGATGAAGTTGACTGTTTCCTTTCACCAAAGAAACATATGGGTTGCGTTAGTGTCACAGGGAGAAAGTGCAGAGATTATGTAGCAGAGAGAAGGGGTTGAGGACAGTCCTACATGAAGAGATGAGTCGCATGGATAATTTGGATGTCAAAGAAAAGTCAGTACATCTTATACTTTCTGTAGTTATCATGCATTGCATTATTGCACTGTTAATATTTGTATGTTGCTGCAGTATGGTTTTTTTAAAGCTTATCTGATATACTGAACAAGCATCTCAGGTACTTGGTACCCCGTGGGAACTAAATTCACGCTTTAATGGAAGGGCCTGTGGCTACAAATAGCCATGCTTCACGCTCACACATATAGCTGGAGGAGTGCAGCAAAGGGATATGTTAAGTCATAGACTTGTGGAGGATGAACTTCATAGTTTCGAAGACAGTTTGCTGTGATGATAAAACTAGAAATCATAGACAGTCTTGCCTTTGCCGTCAGAAAACTAAGAACTCCGGTAACTTACTGATAAGACTAAGAAATTTGTTCATTTATCAAATGTAAAATGAGGATGTTACAGTTTCCATGTGTGTGTCTCTGTGGCAACAGCTGCAGCAGGAGTTTTGCATATGGCAGCTACTCAGAGGCTTGCAGAAACCTAAACAGACTGAGACACAGAAAAATGCTTAGATAAGTATTTAAAAAAAAAATCAAAAAGTGCTGAACTTTCTTTCCTGGCAAACCTGTCTCTTTAGTGGTTGTCAAACATAAGCATTTTGTCTCCCATTTTGTCTCATTCAGCAAATTCAGATTCCTCTGAGCCTTGGGAAAAAGGAGCATAGTATTCTAAGAAGTGATGCACTGCCCCATGCAGAGCTAATGGAGATAACATAGGAAGGACTGAGTACATTAAACGAGTTATCAGAACTGTATATAGCTCTGTTAGCTTGAAGCTCTGCCTGTACAATCCCTGTAGCAATGCTACTTAGAGTGCCTGAGCCACGGGGCGCTATAAACAATAAATCAAAGGTACTGGAAACGATAACTTTACTGTAAACAAAAAATGCAATTAAAATGCTGTGACTGCATAATTAGTGGTAGGAATCACATCTGGTCAGAGAACAAAACCTAAGGCTCATTGTGTTAGAGGAATCTGGGATCTCTCCAGCTCTCTCAAGGCAGGAACAGAAAAATTGCTGGATTTTTTCCTTCTTTGCCAGCACCCTAGGGCTGGAGGTAAGAAAACATCAGCTCCTACTTCCACAGTTGAAGTCCAGCTGTGTTTAACCAGGCAGTGGCAGTCTGAATGATTCCTTGCAGCAGACTATTTCTAGAAGGGGAATGGCCACTGGAGCATCTGGCAGTGCTCTTAGAAACCAGTCTTGTATTTTGCCATGCTTACATTCATGCAGCATTTGGAGTTTAGAGCATGATAAATTTGGATGGGTAGCAAGGAAGGTGTCCCAGCTTCTGGTCTGGAGCATGCTGTGCTGCTTCTGGCAAGTCTGCGGAGTCAGAGCAGGCACTGTCTGTGTTTAGGATCTAAATCTGCCTATCTTGGACTGGATATACTCTTAATCCTGTGCTGTTCTCACAACCCTCACCTGAGGTCTAGGAGAGTTTAAAGCTGCAGCACCCATTAGGTCTTCCTGCCCTTCCAGCATTGCTGAGCTGCCTAACCCATAGCATAAACTTGGCTTTTGCACTGACTGCAGTTGAGGACTTTTCTGATTTTCCTGGTTACCTCATACACATTTATTAGTGTGATAGTATGCAGATCATCTTAGCAGATGCTACATCCATTGAGATAGTCAGAGAGGACACATTTTTGGAAAAGACAGCCGGAAGAGATTGATAACCATATGCTCTATCCTAAAATGATGAGTCTTTTGACTGGCATTATATAAAGAAGGTGACTTAGAAAAGGATGTTATAAAAATTCACACTTCTCTCTCTGCCTCGAACCAGGATTTTGTGATGGCATTGTCCATTCTGTTGCGAGGAACTGTTCATGAAAAGCTAAGATGGACGTTTAATCTGTATGACATAAATAAGGATGGATATATAAACAAGGAGGTAAGGCTGTTCCTGACAAATGTGGTTGATTTCTGAAGAAAGCCAACTGGTTTCTGTTGCAGAGCACAGTTAATTTTACATGCAGCTAATAAAATGCAAATCAGACTGGACTTGAGCATTTATTTATGTCTAAGTAAAGTGTGCAGTGTCTCATTTTGCATGATTTTGTAGACATATTTTCCTATATTATAGTGCCTTTAATGGATTGCTTTAGCCAGGAACAAAATCCCAGTTACAGCTGTGAGCAACACAACCTTTGTGAAGAGGAGGGTGATGGTGGCAATAGTGACTGAAACACAAGGGGTTTCTGGCTGCACTGGGAGGTGTGGTGTGGTCTCACTTGGAGCACCAGAAGTCCCCAGCACTACTCCCAAATCTTCTTATCTGGTATTGCCTGTTCCCCTTGTGGGAAGCCTTGGTTTTGAGCCTGGTAACCTTGAATATTTTGCAAATACATCTTGGTGTATCTTCTCAAAACTATTGTGTGTACCTGCAGGGTTTGCAGTTACTGCTGCCAGTCATGGAGTTGTGTGGCAGTTTGTGCCAGGCATGGAGAAGGGCCAGGTTCCCACAGAGTGCCATGAAGGTCCCTGGCCCTGGGGGAGGCTCTGGGACAAGGTTAGTGCCGCAGTGCTCAGGACCGAGCGTGCCCCTTGCAGCCCAGCACCATCCCCAGCAGATGCCATGTCAGAACATGTGCCCCACAGTGCCCCTGGCCCCAAGGGCAGTGAGCATTGCGGGAGCCTCCAGCACGGCTGTGGCAAAGTCATGGCACAGTCAGAAAGAAGCACTTGTATTTTACAGATGAACGTGTATATGATACATCTGTCTTCATGCACATGTGTAGGCGTTCTCTGTGCTGTTTTGTAATAGGAGAAGAAGAGCGAAGAAAAGAGCAGTAAAAGAGAGAAATGTGGTATAATTTCTATCAATTTCCCCTTTGTGTTTGTGCTGGCATGCCACTACTGCAGGAAATGATGGATATCGTAAAGGCAATTTATGATATGATGGGAAAGTACACGTATCCAGTGCTCAAGGAAGATGCACCAAGGCAGCATGTAGAAGTATTCTTCCAGGTACTTAATTTTTGATGTGTTTTTCTTAATGCTTGAGCTATGCACTGATACACTTTACAGTCAAGTTAGCTCTAAATTCAATCCTGTGCCCCACTGTATATTCCAAAGTAAACCCTAGCAGCCATTCAGCCTATCAGTACAGCGTCTGCTGATTTTCTGCTCCAAAGGTATCTCATTTGTCTCTTAGCCTGACCCTTTGAAGTGGCATGTGCCACATCCAGCAAGTCTAAAGCCTCTGCCTGTGTTGTAGCCCTTCTGTGCTGCTTCTCTTAACTGCCTGTAAAGAGAGACAGGAATATGGGTGCTGGTTGGTGAGGCAATGAATAAATAAATGATATGAGGGCAGAGTTTGCTATGTATGTGAGTGAAGGCGTAGTTGGAGATGACCTCAAAAGCACTCCAAATACTAAACAAGTCCATAGCAGTTGGGAAATTTAGCCAATGACACTGAGACTGTAATCTAAGCTGGTAAAGTGCCCTAGGTTTATTCAGATTGCATCAACTAAGATATTATACTATAACTGCAGTGTTACCTACAGAAACAAAAAAAGGTTTTTTTTATTTTATTTTGCAGAAAATGGATAAAAACAAAGATGGTGTTGTAACTTTAGATGAGTTTATTGAATCATGTCAGGAGGTAAGGACAAAATTACAACTGCAATGAAAGGTCTTGCTCATGCCACAGCATTTGCTTTCCCTTTGGACAAACTCTGTTTGAAACAAGATGCTGCTCAGGATCCCCGGTTTCCGTTGCTCTGTGAAAAAAGACAACTTTAAGACTGAAGTTTGTGTGGTGCTCTGTGAAGCCTGTGACTGAACAGTGAAGTAGGGTCAGGTTGGTCATGGGAGAGGGCCTCTTCATTTCTAGAGCTGGTGGCCAGTGCTTTTTTTTTTCCTGAGTGAACTGCAGTGCCTGATTCTGTAGGCAAGCAGATAACTCTAGAGAAAACTCATAGCGCCCTTAAACTTCCTTAGTATTTTTCCTTCCACTTAATGTTGTCTCTGTGTGCTGTCCCTGAATGTCCATTAACAGGTACCACATTGCTGGAACTACCCAGAGCCAAAGGTGTCTCAAAATCTTGTAACTGAAGCACTGATTTATAACATGGTCAAACATTTTGATGTGGTCAAATACTAAAAGCAAATGCTGTCATCATAGCAATGATTTTTTTTTTCCTGTTTTGGAAATAAGCTTCCTCTTGCAAATTCCATACATTAGGTTGGCTGTAATAAATAATTGCTGGTATTTTTAGCACTGGCACAAAGGCAAGCATCTGCATTAACATGCAATTGGCCAAGTATCTGTTGTCTTTAGACTGTAATTAACTGTGTGGATGTTTGCTCAGAGATCTCTCTAATATTTAATCAGTACAATAATGGCCTATGCATTTTAGAAAATTTACATTGGTGCCAATAATTGCATACCAGCCCACCTGTGTATTTACTTTCCCTGGAAAAATCCTCCATGTTCTGCAGTCAGACAGCTCTTCTGTACCTGAGCAGTGGGAAGATGCTGACTCTGGAGGGCTAGACTGGCTTCCTGATGTTTCTGTGTTTAATTCTGGCTCTGGCAAAATCCAGAATACTTCTTAGTCAGGGACTTCCAGCAGTCCCCAGTTTAATTTCTTGTTAGCAGATGCATAATACAAGGCTATTTTTTTTTTTTCAGTTACTTCATTCTTGGTCCTTCCTGATTGTTTGGCTTATTTTTGGTCTCATCTTTAATCGTCTGTGTTGAGAATTATTCTTCACATTCATAATCTGCCTTCAGGCTGGATGCATGTGTGTGTGATTGGTGGTCTCAGTATTAAAACAACTTCTAACCGTTAGAGTTTGTTTAATGCTCTGCCCTAGTTTGGGTTTGGTTCCTCGTGTTGACATACTTGCACTAGGAGCTGTGCAGACTGCTGCACTGTCATGTGTGCTCTCCTGGCAGATAGGAGCAGGCTCTGCAACACTAAGGTGCTGGGTTTTTTTTCTTTATGAAAAACAAACCAAAATGCACTATAGTGCTTAGCTCTGCCATTTCCAAGGGTGTGGCTCATGGGCAGTGAACTCCTAGCATTGCTTTGGGGAGGATGATTGGTTTCCCATGCAAGGTGATACCTTGTACCACGATACCAACCAGACTGTGTTGGAGGTGAGACAGGTGAATGCAGCCTCAAAATAAGATAGAGGAATGAGATGCAATAGATCTCTTTAAGTTGCTCAATGTGGAAAATCATTTTCATGTTACTGGCAAATGGTTATTCTAATGTGTGGAATAACTGAATTCCTGGCGGGGTGTGTGTGTGTGTGTGTGTGTAAATCATCATTATGCTTTTGAATATTACTCTGGTTATTACCTCAAAGTACAATTTTGACAATTCATGAGAGACAATCTGGGATTCTCTTTGTGTGTCTCACAACTTTTACATTTGGATCTAGGAACCTTGGAGAGGCTGAGTTTGCATGTATTTGGGGTTTGAGCTGGGTGTATTTCTGGGATGAAGTGGTCCTTCAAGGCAGCTTGCTTACCAGTTCAAAGCATGCAATTTAATTGGAAATTTTGAAGCATATTAGCTAAGTATGTGTTTGCATATTCAGGATCAATGAAACGCAGTTGGGCTCTGAAGTCTGAGGGTTCAGTACTGTCACCAGCTCAGTGCTGGTGTCTGGTTTTCTTCAGTAAAGCACAGCCCATGCTGAATGTCAAACTTATGACAAGATCCTGTGCTTGCATGTCTCAGACCAACTAAGGTGACAGAGTAAGAGAGAAAACTGTTTTGCAGAATCAGGACCTGATCACTGAATCAATTCCAGCTCATTGAGGATGAAAAGCATTATGAAAGCAAGGCTGTTGCTTGCAGTAGCAACTGCAGAGCTCCTCCTATGCCATGCAAAGTTCTGAGTCATGCTTGTCAGTGCTGGTTTTATGGAAATGTCTTCTCATTGCTTGCAGGATGACAATATCATGCGATCCTTACAGCTCTTTGAGAATGTGATGTAACCGTGTCTGGTGAGTGCTGGAGGAGTCAGAGACTTTCTGTGTAACAAAGGTCTCCTTTCTGGGTGAAAGCTTTTTACAATTCAGCCATGTTCAGTATGTGAGGATTTTGTACGACATCTCCAACCAAATGGCAACCGAATGCAACCAATCCCACATCTCCCCAAGAGACACTGGTGGACTTTTGTTTCGTTTTGGAAGCATGTGAATATTTTAATAAATCCTGACAAGAGAGAACTGCTGCTCAAAGTACAATGAGTAATAAACAGCATTGTTTGCTAGGCACAAGTCCTGCTTTTAATCTAGTATATGATTACATATGATAGCACATGTCGATAGCTTACTCAGCCATCTATTGCAAGTGAAAAGCTCAGTCTATTCTACCATATGACAAAATGTTTTATGAATGCCTTGCTGTTAATCTGCTTTGACAAAAATCAAATCTACCAGGGCAGTCTGTAAAAAATGAACAGTAAATGTACCTAGGACATTAACCTGACAGCCTGTGTAGCCAATATTCCCATTTCTGCAGAGATCCCACTTCTCCTCTCACATGCACTGGTGCCACCATGCTGAGTTTGGAGTTTTTCATGAACACATGAACCAGAGGATCTTCATGCCAGGGTGAGTCAGAAAGGAGCAAAACATGTGTTGCACATACAAATATCAAACTACAGAACAAATGCTGTTCAATGATGGTAAGTTCTTGCAAGACCGGGCAGGTTTCTAAGGGCTGGTACAGGAAGATGAATACCCGCTCTGGTCCCAGCCACCTTCTGCAGTCCAAGCACGTGGTGGGACACCAAGAGATTCTCCAGTGTGCATCTCAGCAGCACCGTGGTCATGTGCTATGGTCCTTTTGGTGTAGTTTGGCACACGCTTCCTAGGTTCATGATTTGAACATCTACATTTTTCCATTGGACATTACAGTAAATTGTTCCCCACTTTAAGGATTTATTTTAGCATTCCAGTTTTACTTAGTGCAGAAAAGGGCCCATATATTTACTTAGTGCAGAAAAGGGCCCACGTATTTCTACATACACACCCTCATACCCACAAAGTGCCCTGTAAGTTTAATCAGGACCTACTTAGTTGTTGTTAGTCTCAGAATCAGCTGCCAGGCCCACATATCCCTTTGGGTATTTTAACATTTTCTATAGTAAAATCTTTTTTTCTAGAAGGCAGTTGCATGACTTGTACAAGTCCCATTTCCTTGCTAATGCCAAATAGATCATTGGTTTGGGGGGGTTGGTTTTTTTAATTAGTAAAACAGAATTATTTAGTGAATTTACATCAAGGTTGGATTTTGCCCAGTAGATTAATTGTCAGCTGAGAAACATGTCAGAGCCTGCTTTGCAGAAGACTCTTAAGAAAGCTAACACACAAGAGTGCCATTTGCAGTCTCCAGGCAGCTGATGGCTCAGAAACCAAGGGAAGAAGGGAACAGCCAACTCTTCCAGCTGCTCAAACCACACAGAACGGAGAGTCCCTGCCATAGTGCTACGTTGCTCCCATCCAGTAAGCATATATTTTTATTATATCAGATACTATATTACAAATATACTGTTAGCAGTGAAGATATATTTTAAAAATTATCTAAGTGGAAGCTTTTTATAATACAAAATATATAGAATGCCTCATTTCTGTAGCCCTATATTTTATAAAAATTTAATCTATTGAAGTATTCCTGACTATAGAGGTAGGTCTGATCAGTACTAGTGCGATGCTATGCTAATTCCCCTAGGTGGGACATTTTTCCCTTTTTACTGTGCTTCTCCATACACTTCTATGTAGTCAACTTATATTTAAGTTGCCCACTTGTCATCAAAAGTGCTGTTGAAATGAGTGAAGTTACATGTATGCAAGAATGACACCCTAGTCTATTCTGTTTATTGCCTTTCATAGAAATACTCTTAATTACTTCCTAGAACTGATACAGAGGGTAGCAACTCCAGTAATGTGCTGTGATTCACAGAAGAGATGCAATGCTGTGAGAGTAGCCTTGTCCTCCAGTTGTCTGGTATTGTCTCCTTAGTTTTCATTTAACAGGCACCTGATAAAAACATCAGTTGTAGCTGAAATAGTGCACAATGTTTACACTGTTCCTTCTCAATTCTTCTTGCAATCACTTTAGTAAATGACAGGATTTAATATAATGAATAACCTGCCTTTTTCCCCCCACCAAAAGAGCATCTGTCTGTTACCAGTCTAAGCAGTTAACTTCAGCTGAGGGAGAAGTGGTCAAGACAATGGAAAGCGAGCATTTGCATAGGGCTAGCACAGTGCCTTCTCCCCTAACAGGGTAGCTCATGAGATGGCACATACAGCCTAGAAAGTTTTGAATGTCCCCTTTTCAAAAGAATATGTTATGAGTTGTATGATACTGTAGTCCCTGAAGATAAATTAATTTCTGGAGTTAACTGCGATTAATTTGGCTTCAGCTATGTTTTCTGTGTCTCCACTAGAACTGCTGTACGGGTGGTGTGGGGGTGCCTGTGTCATAGGGGCTGTAGCTGCTTTCTATCGAGACTGGCCCCATTTGGCAACATACTTCAAACGTTTGGATGTTACTCTTGGTACATGCTTAAATGCACTGCTGAAATCAGGCTGCCATTAATGACCCTGCAGTTTTGGCATCTCCTTTTCTGCTCCACTGTGTCAGTTTTGAGCTCCCAGCAGCAGTGTGGGTGTGTTAGGCAGAGAGGGAGATGCTAAAGCAGCACTGGCCCTGATTCTGCCCTTGAGGCATAACTAGCTTCAATTTTGGTCTCATAGGAGACCAGACCCCACCTGCACATACCTGATGTTCAGCCCTGGGTTGCTACCTCTCTGCTCCACTTGAAGTTCATTGTAGCTGAGACGGGAGGATTTGCAAGGTGACACACAGCAGTTGTGTTTGCACATAGCTCAGACTGTAAATTCTGCCTGTGGTGGAGTCATTGCCTTTGCAAAACCCTTTATGATCCCATGCTTGTCTCTGATCCCACCGATATCAGCAGAGGCTCGTATGCGTCAGTGCATAGAAGGCCCCTGGGTTGTCCATGAGCAGCATAAGTGTGTATGGCATGTGTGCTCCAGCCAACAGCTGACAGAGATCCAGTGACAGTGAGAGAATCGTACTCTGCATGGAAATGTCTTTGGGTTTGTTTTTTATGTTTTCAGTGAACGTTACTTTGTAAACTTGCAAAGCCTCCCATCGCTCATAAGTGGGGCTTGCAATATTTATGGCAAATACTACTATGGCTTTCTAAATAAAACATAGTATGCTATTCTAATCTCATACCATCATAAATCCTACTGCCAGTATGCGGAAGGTAGTTACTATGCTGGCTTCTAAGTTACGGTTAGACTATCTGTCAGTGCTATCAGCTGTGCAAATTTTCTCAAAGTTGTGAATGTTTAAATAATGTCTGAATCATTAGTCTGACTGTTTCATTAGTTACAAACATTAGTCTGCATCTTCATGCCAGCATTTTCTAAAAAAACCTTTCTAACGTGTTTTAGGCAACAATCTGTTGAAAAATAGGAATGTGATTAATGATAATGCAAAAAAAAATGTAACGTGCCTGTTACTGTCGATGTTTGTTTTCCTGTTACTTTGAATGCATTGCAATATTGTGAGTAATCACGAGTCAAGCTATAAACCTGAGGTACGATATCCTAAGATTCAAGCATTGTGGGCAGAACTTTGGCATTGCCCCACTGTGACACATGTTGAGAACAAACATCTATGTGTCTGTGTGTGACCTTTGATAAGATGGTAGCAGCAGTGTAACAATGTTTTTTTCTTCTTCACGGAACTGCCATGAAAAATCTAAGGAAATGTGCAAATAATATGAATGGTGATAACTAAAGCCATGTTAATGGAGCAGCAATGCATAGCTTCACTCTTACAAATGCTATTCTCCAACAGCAATTTGTATTAAATTTTGTTGAATGGTTTTAAAAAATGTTAATTTTAATAATAAAAATAAAATATCTATAGGAGGGTGTCCTTTCTTAAGCCCAGTATGTATTTTTTTGTAAGGGACACTGTCAGGTTAAAAATTTACAGTGAAACTTTTAAAAGCAGGACTCTTATAAGCACATATCTACCTGCATAGAGCCTGTTAAACTCCTGAACTGTGCTCTGAGCGTAACAGTTACATGCTGATGATTTATTTGCATCACTGATTCAGGGGTACCCTTATGCTTGGTGCAGTGTCATACACCTAACTGACAGTCTGGCCCTTCTGTAAATAAAAGTTCAAAAATGTTCTACCTGCATCACTGATAGAATCTCAGAGTAGTAAAAAAATGAAAGCTTATAGTCTTTTCTCTTCAGTATTTTTGTTTAAGTATAACCAGGAAAACAGGCAATAAAGTAGAAGAAAAATGCCAACACTATTTTATTTTAGAGATAAGAAAAATAAAACCTCACAGTGTCCCTTTAGCTCTGGTTTGTTGTAAACATCCATTCTGACACATGGAGAAATGCAGAAGAAATTTTGCAAGACTATATATATGTGTGTACATATATATTTATATAAAAAAATTTGCTAAACTCCATTCTGTAGGGTATGATATGTCTACCAGCACATCCCAGGAAAAAGAACATTTTCTTGCATAGATGCAGAAATGTGAAAATAAAGATGTCTGTGTGAAACATGGTATTGGTCTCGCTCCAGTGCCTAGACAGGTCGCGTTGTCCAGCTGACCGCTCCCCCTGGCCAGCTCTTGGCTGTGCAGACAGGGAGCGAGTGGCCTGGGGACAGCCACTGCTGCCACCAAGGCACCAGCGAGAGGCAGCAGTTCCCTGGGGAAAATGACAAACCTGACTTCTTGGTGTCCCTGCAAGGAAAAGGTGTTGAAGCTGCCTGTTCAGTGCCTCTCGCTTGCTCTGAAGTGCACCCAGCTGCTGCTAGGCAAAGGATACTCTGGCTCACTGGCACGTGCGTATGCTTTTTATTAATTTTTCATCATCAGGTTTGCTCGAGTGGCTGTCTGAAGTCTTAGTTACTGCTGTGAGATATTAGACACCTCTGATTTTACTCTCAGCCCATCCCCACTGCAGGCTGAGCATCTCATCCTCCTCATCTCTGGGAACATCCTCCAGAGCACGGTAGGGTGAAATGAGGCATGTGCCATAACTCAGCATGTCACAAAGGTTACTTTGGAATGCAGTAATAGCTTCTTGTTACCATGAGATTAATTCTGTAATTTTTGCAGGCCTAGTAAGGCTGGTAAGGGAAGA